GCCCCCGGTCTCTCTTGTCCAACTTTGTGGTCTCTCCCCTGGGGGGGTCTGTACAGCTCTTGGAGGGGAGGCAGTCTCTTTCCTCTCCGGGTGGTCTAATTCTTCTTCTCTGCTCAGCGATCTCTCATTCCTTCAGCATCAAAGACAATGCTGGAGATACCTCTCCCACCTCCAACAACCTGGAGCCCACGTGGAGCCTCACAGCTCAGCGCCTCCCAGCACCCCTCCAGTCCTCTTAATTGGCATCGACTTTTTTTTTCCTTTTTTTTTTTATTTGCTCTCTCCCCCAGTTGAAATGAACTTTCCTGCTGTTCTATCTCCTCTTCTCCTGAGGAGGTGACCGCAGCTGCTGTGTGCTTGGAGGGGTCCAGATGATTGATGGGGAGGGTGGTGCTGGCAGAGGATCCCTCACTCCATCAGCTCCTCTCTCTCTCTCTCGCTCCCTCTCCCTCTCTAGTGTGGAACATATGAACGCCTAGCAGCCATGCACAGGGCTTCCCTGTCGTCCTCTCCTTCCAATGCAGCTCCATGTGCAAGGTGCTGGGGTCCACACCTGTAGATCAGACACCCCACCCAAATCCACAGAGACCTCTTACCTTCCTAGCCATCCGTTGTCAGATCCAGATGCATCATTCATGCTCTGGGAAGGGGCTTCTGCAATACTGCACTTGATGACTTACAAACTGGATTGGTCAACATGACAAAAAAAAAAATAAACAAATAAATAAATACTTAAGTGAATGACCCCCCCCCCCCCCCCCCCAAGAAAAAAAAAACAGAAAATTTTAATATATTGTGGGTTACTAATCCTTGAAGTGGTATTCAACCCAAGAACAAAAATGTAATATATTGCAGTTTACCAATTCCTAAAGTGATACTAAAGTCAAAAACATGTCTATACTTACCTGCTCCGTGTAATGGTTTTGCAGAGCAGCCCCGATCCTCCTCTTCTTGAGTCCCCCACCAACACTCCTTGGTTTTTACACAGAGCAGCCCTGATCGTCCTCTTCTTGAGTCGCCCGCCAGCGCTCCTTGGTTTTGCACAGAGCAGCCCCGATCCTCCTCTTCTTGAGTCGCCCGCCAGCGCTCCTTGGTTTTGCACAGAGCAGCCCCGATCCTCCTCTTCTTGAGTCGCCCGCCAGCGCTCCTTGGTTTTGCACAGAGCAGCCCCGATCCTCCTCTTCTTGAGTTCCCCCGCCAGTGCTCCTTGGTTTTGCACAGAGCAGCCCCGATCCTCCTCTTCTTGAGTCGCCCGCCAGCGCTCCTTGGTTTTGCACAGAGCAGCCCCGATCCTCCTCTTCTTGAGTCCCCCGCCAGCGCTCCTTGGTTTTGCACAGAGCAGCCCCGATCCTCCTCTTCTTGAGTTCCCCCAGCCAGTGCTCCTTGGTTTTGTACAGAGCAGCCCCAATCCTCCTCTTCTTGAGTTCCCCGCCAGCGCTCCTTGGTTTTGCACAGAGCAGCCCGATCCTCCTCTTCTTGAGTTCCCCGCCAGCGCTCCTTGGTTTTGCACAGAGCAGCCCGATCCTCCTCTTCTTGAGTTCCCCGCCAGCGCTCCTTGGTTTTGCACAGAGCAGCCCGATCCTCCTCTTCTTGAGTTCCCCCGCCAGCGCTCCTTGGTTTTGCACAGAGCAGCCCGATCCTCCTCTTCTTGAGTTGCCCCCGCCAGCGCTCCTTGGTTTTGCACAGAGCAGCCCCGATCCTCCTCTTCTTGGGTTCCCCACCAGTGCTCCTTGCCCCTCCCTCCTGTCAGGTGCCCCCATAGCAAGCAGCTTGCTATGGGGGCACCCAAAACAGGTGTTCTCTTGAGCCACAGCTCTGTGTGTCCATTCACCCATGGAGCTGCAGCTCAGCCCCGTCTCCTCCCTTTTCTGATTGGCTCAATGGCTGCCATTGGTTCCCACTGCTGCCAATGATGAGAGATTCCCTGGAAAACTGTGGCTTGTCATGGGCATCACTAGATCAGGATGGAGCTCAGGTAAGGGTGGGCTGGGGGGCAGCTACACACAGATGCATAAAGGTAAAAAACCTTGAGAATTTAGAACCACCTTAACATGGTTGTAAAGAATCAAGGTATTTTACCTTCATGCATTGTATACAGTATGTGTGTGCAGAAGCCCCCCCCCCCCGTACTTACCTAAACCCCCTCTCCAGCCAGCAATGTGCACGAGAGCCTCAGTTGTCCTGAGTCTCTCCTATTGGCTCCCACTACTGTCAGTCACAGCCAGTGAGCCAATAAGAAGAGAGCAGGGGGCCAAGCCGCATCTGTGTGTGAATGGACACACAGAGCAGCGACTTGGGAGCGAGCCTGCACAGGTGCCCCCGTAGGAAGCTGCTTGCTGTGGGGGCACTTGGCAGGAGGGACTGCCCAGAAGCACCAGCATGGGATCCAAGAAGAAGAGGATCGAGGCAGCTCTGTGCAAAACTACTGCGCAGGTAAATATGACTTGTTTACTGTTTTTTCTAAAAACTGCCTTTACAATCACTTTAAGACTCAATTCACACTGATGACGCATTACTTCAGCACAATTTCAAAGTCACCAATCAGTGCAACTTCATAGGTGGTTTGCCAACATCTGTGTGACTTCATTTACACAAATGTCATGACAAGCCGCACATGAAATCGCACAAAAGTATTGCAGGAAACATTTTCAGTGGCTGCAACTTGAGTTGCACCAGTTTGAACGGTTCCATAAAGGCAAATAGAATGCGACATGTCATGCAACTTTGATGTGTCAAATCTCATGACAAGTCACACTGGTGTGAACCGGGGCTAAAGGGTTTCTTCACGGTTTGAGGAAAAAGTGAAAAGGTGAACTAACACTGTACCTTCCTCCCACCTACCCCACTGTACATTCTGTGGTAGTCCAGGGACTTGAAATCCCCACGCTTCTTCCTCTTCTTTTGCAGCGCTTCCAGGACTGATTCTGATTGGTCAGTACTGGCACAAAGCCTCACTCTGATCTGTCCTGGAAGCCCTGCAGAAAAAAGGGGAGGAAGAGTGGGGATTTAAAAACCCCAGACTGCTACACTTACTACGTGGGCACTGACAGCTCATCACCTGTGTTGGTAAGTACAGCGGGGACCAGGGAGGTGAAGAGGGTGCAGAGCGTTAGTTCTCCTTTTCATTGTTTTCTGAAGAGGTGAACTAACCCTTTAAGTGGTAATAAATCAAAAAACCAAAGTGTAATATATTACAGCTTACCAATCCTTAAAGTGACAGTAACGGAGAACATTATTTTGACTTTCAAAGATGTTATACTTACTGTACCTGCTCTGTGCAACGATATTGCACAGAGCATTCCTTTTTCTCCGCTTTGGCAGTCCCTTACCAGCACTGTCCACTTCTCCCTCCACCGGGTTCCTTCTTAATGAGCCAGGTGCCATGGAGGCGTGTGTGTGTGTTCCTGAGCCGGGCTGTGTGTGGACATAGAAATTCACAGTGCTGGTAAGCTACGCTGCCTCTCCCTCCTCAAGGACTTTGATTGACAACAGCGGGTGCCTAGGGCTCCCCCTGCTCTCAGTGTCTCCTGTGAGACCAAGAAGTGAGAGGAATGATGCTGCAGCCGGGACACTAGAGTGGCACTGAGCCAGGCAAGTGGTTAGAGGGGGGGGGGGGGGGTTACAGGTAGTGGGGCATTTTTTTACCTTAATGCAGGGAATGCATTAAGGTAAAAAAAAACATTTTGCCTTTAAAACCACTTTATGTGGTAATGAACCCCAAACCAAAAATGTAATATATTGCAGCCTGCCAGTTCATAATGTGGTGGCTGCATTCGTTTTCTTTTTTTGGTTTCTTCCTTTTATTTTCATGGGTGGATTTTTCCTTACCCTGGTGTTCAGCTTTAAAGTTAAATTCCAGGCAAACTGCTAAATATACGAAATATATGTGGAAATTGTTTTACCTGTCAAACAGCCCTGATAGACAGCAGACCGGTGATCTGACTTTTCTCTGCTACAGTTTATCATTACAGCTTGGTCACCTCCATGCCCCCAGTCAGTTACTGGGAAATGAAAAGAGCAGCAGCTGACTATTGAGCCTTTCTGTCTCCTCCTGTCAGCATGTTCCTTATCGGCACACATGCATGCAGCACACCCAGTTGGCCTCAAGTGCTGCTCCCCCCCCCCAATCTAAGGCTAGGTTCATACCTATGCAGTTTGCGTTTGATCTGTTTCTTCAGTACGTTTTGCATTGTGTTTTGTGTGTATTTGCACATGCATATTTGATGCTTTTTTATGCGTTTTGCATTATTTTTGGATTGGGGACAGTAGAGCTTTACTGCATATACAGACTGATTTTACTGTTGTGGGTTTAGTAACACTTTAACACTTGCAGCACAGGAGAAGGTATTTAAAGTGGTTTTAAATTCAAGAAATGTTTTACCTTGCGTTCCCTGCATTAGGGTAAAAGATGTCTCACTACTTGTCCCCCCCCCCAAACACTCACCTGAGTCCTCTCTTGATCCAATGCTGTGCCTGCCTGCAGCAATGCTGCTCTCTTTCTTCATCTTCTCACAAGACTCACTGAGAGCAGTGGGAGTCATCGATGTTAGTAAAGCCCTGTGAGAAGGGAGCGCTGTGTATGTCTATGGATGCACACAGCCTGGTTTTGGAGCAAGCCTGCGCAAATGATAGCAAGCGGCTTATTGAGAGGTCACTTGAAAAAGAGGGGAAGCAGACAGCACTGGCAGGGGACCCTGAAAAGAAAGTAAGTGGTCACTCTGGGCAATGCCATTCCACAGAACAGGTAAGTAAAACATGTTTGTTATTTGAACAATAACTGCTTTAAAGTGTTACTAAACCCACAACAGTAAAATCAGTCTGTATATGCAGTAAAGCATGCTTGTTATACTCACTGTGGAACCTAAGGGGTTAATCCACTGCATTGAATAAAAAAACCATTTGAACCTGACTTCTTTGCTCCTCCTCTTGATCAAATGTCCACATCTTATCTCCTTATAAGACAGACTGAACCATAGCCATTTTGCACATGCTCAGTTTAGTGTGTTTTGCAGGAGAGTTTTTTTTCTTGGAAGAGTGCATGTGATCAGCACAGGGCCAATCAGCACTGTCCGGACAGAGGCCAGGGGTTCTGCATCCTCCTAGAGCAGAAAGCTTTAACCAGTGCTCTGCTGAACACAGATAAAAATCACAAGACTGCTCTAACTGCGAAAAGGTATTTAGTAGTTTATATTTACTAAAATAATTGCATTTCCATGTTGTGTGTACTGTGGGAGACCAGATATAGTGAATGCAGGGTCCGGGGAGACCAGATATAGTGAATGCAGGGTCCTAGGGAGACCAGATATAGTGAATGCAGGGTCCGGGGAGACCCGATATAGTGAATGCAGGGTCCGGGGAGACCAGATATAGTGAATGCAGGGTCCTGGGGAGACCAGATATAGTGAATGCAGGGTCCTAGGGAGACCAGATATAGTGAATGCAGGGTCCTGGGGAGACCAGATATAGTGAATGCAGGGTCCGGGGAGACCAGATATAGTGAATGCAGGGTCTTGGGTTTAGTAACACTTTAAAGGAGTTCTATGGCCACAGCTTACAGTTTCATTTTATAACATCAACATTGTAATAACAATACAATTGTTAATATTGAAAATCCAATGCAACCTTACTTGAAAAATCTAATTTCTATCAGCTTCTCTGCTGTTTACTTTCCATTTCTAAGGACTACGTGTCCCATGGTACCTTGCTGCCTGCAAGCAGTAATTCCTGTACTGACTCCACCTCCTGAAACTCCTCCTCTCAGCTCCACTTTAGTTCAGAAGGCAGGCACTGTGAAATGTGTGACAGAATTCAGGGCAGTAAATGTGTGGGGGTCTCCACAAAGAAAATGTTCAAACTTCAAGATCATTTAGAATAATAAATGTAGTGTGATTGAAATACAATGTGGAAATGAATAAAGGATTTTACTTAAAGTGTAGTTTACCTTGAGCAACATTTTACAAAAGGCCCCCCATACAATTCCAAACCCCTAAATGGTGCATACCTGTGTTCCTCAAATTCAAATTCTGCTCCTGCTTCTCATTATATACACAGCCATGGAGGAACCTCTCCGAAGAAACTGCCCGTCCCTTGATCCCTCTTTGTCCCTATTTAACATACTATTACTAGAGCAAGTGACACCAGAGCAAGCACCACAGTGACATTGTACTGCTGTGACAGTTGATCAGAGGCACTGGCTCTGTATGTCAGTGCCGCTAACCATTGTTTCTGATCACTGCAACAGCAGTACAATGTCACCAGTGTAACTAGTCGCATCACCAGACCAGTGTCCCCATTCCCCCCCAGACCAGTCACAGTGTCCCAGTTCACCGCCACACCAGTCCCACCAGTATTGTGACATCCCTGCACAGATTTGTCCCTGGGAGCAGCGGCTGTGTCCATCCGGCCACTGCGTTCTAATGTACTTGAAAGGGACTTCCTACACAAGGTGCATGGAACACTTGTACATCCCTGTGCTGGAAAACACAGTTGTCACATGGGGCACAGATGCAATGGGGACTGCTAAAGGTTATGCTACACTAAGCTATATTCCCTGACCACTCATACAGAGGCGACCATTCAAATTCATTGTTTTCTGTACAGTGTTGGTTGATTTGTGTGATACACAAGATGTGTACGGTACATACTCAGTCCAAACACTGAAAACATCTCACATGTGGTATTCCCATACTCAGGAGGAGAAGTAGAATATGTTTTGGGGTGTAATTCTAAGTATGCCCATGATGTGTGTGAGAAATATCTTATTAAAGTGACAATTTTCTATAACAAAAGACTCACCATTCCTCTTAAAATATACCTTGAGGTGTTTACTCTCCAAAATGTGATTGTTTTGTGGGTGTTTCTCCTGTCCCGTCTTTAAGGCACTCAAGAAATATACGTTGTCAGGAAATTACATGTGTAGCTTATGCTCCTTGAAAGCCGAAAGGCACTCCTTGGGTTTTGGGCCCCTCTGTGCATCTAGACTATGAAAAAGCCTCACGCGTGTGGTATCCCCATACTCAAGAGGAATAGCAGAATGTGTTTTAGGGTATAATTCTAAGTATGTATATGCGGTGTGTGAGAAATGACTTGTTAAAAACAACAACTTTGTGAACATTTTTTTTATTTACATTTATTTTCCAAAACATTATGACAAAATATTACAACTTCAAAAAGCTCACCATGCTTCGCACTAAATTACTTGGACTGTCCTTTTGGGAGTTTATGTCCTGAGCTGGCATTTTAGGACCTCAAAAAATGAAATAGGTAGTCAGTACATCAAGAATGATTACCGTATTTTTTGCTCCATAAGACGCACTTTTTTCCCCCCAAAAAAGGGGGAAAAATGTCAGTGCATCTTATGGAGCGAATATGGAGCAGCCGGTCTGGTATTTCCACCGCCGCCGTGTCAGAATACCGGGCCAGCCACTCTACAGCAGAGCCTTACCTGTTGCTCGGTCCAGAGCTGCGCAGTCTTCCCTCGCAGGCTTCTTTAGTGTGGGCTCTCGGCTTGACAGCCGGGTGCCCAGTGCGCATGCGCAAGAAGCGCTGCGCTTTGTGAATGGTACAGCTTCTTCTGGGACACATGACAGGTCGCAGAAGATGCCGGAACAATCACAAAGTGCAGCGCTTCTCGCGCATGCGCACTGGGCACCCGGCTGTCAGCCGGGTGCCCACACTAAAGGGAGGACAACTCCGTGGAAGTGGGAGCGGGTACCTGTCAAATTCAGGTACCTGCTCCCCCTCCCTCCCCAAAGGTCAGCAGTCATCTCCTGTACTGTCCGCAGTCTCTGGTCATCCCCTGTACTGTCCGCAGTCTCTGGTCATCTTTTGTACTGTCCGCAGTCTCTGGTCATCTCCTGTACTGTCCGCAGTGTCTGGTCATCTCCTATACTGTCTGCAGTCTCTTGGTCATCCCCTATACTGTCCGCAGTCTCTGGTCATCCCCTGTACTGTCCGCAGTCTTTGGTCATCCCCTGTACTGTCCGCAGTCTCTGGTCATCTCCTGTACTGTGTCCGCAGTCTCTGGTCATCCCCTGTACTATGTCCGCAGTCTCTGGTCATCTCTTATACTGTGTCTGCAGTCTCCGGTCACCTCCTGTACTGTGTCTGCAGTCTCTGGTCATCTCATGTACTATGTCTGCAGTCTCCGGTCACCTCCTGTACTATGACCGCAGTCTCTGGTCATCTCCTGTACTATGTCTGCAGTCCCCGGTCACCTCCTGTACTATGACCGCAGTCTCTGGTCATCTCCTGTACTGTGTCCGCAGTCTCCGGTCACCTCCTGTATTGTATCCGCAGTCTCTGGTCATCTCCTGTACTGTGCCTGTAGTCTCTGGTCATCTCTTGTACTATGTCTGCAGTCTCTGGTCATCTCCTGTACTATGTCTGCAGTCTCTGGTCATCTCCTGTACTGTGTCCGCAGTCTCTGGTCATCCCCTGTACTGTCCGCAGTCTTTGGTCATCCCCTGTACTGTCCGCAGTCTCTGGTCATCTCCTGTACTGTGTCCGCAGTCTCTGGTCATCCCCTGTACTGTGTCTGCAGTCTCTGGTCACCTCCTGTACTATGTCTGCAGTCTCCGGTCACCTCCTGTACTATGACCGCAGTCTCTGGTCATCTCCTGTACTATGTCCGCAGTCTCTGGTCACCTCCTGTATTGTATCCGCAGTCTCTGGTCATCCCCTGTAGTGTGCCTGTAGTCTCTGGTCATCTCTTGTACTATGTCCGCAGTCTCTGGTCATCTCCTGTAGTATGTCCGCAGTCTCTGGTCATCTCTTATACTGTGTCTGCAGTCTCCGGTCACCTCCTGTACTGTGTCTGCAGTCTCTGGTCACCTCCTGTACTATGTCTGCAGTCTCCGGTCACCTCCTGTACTATGACCACAGTCTCTGGTCATCTCCTATACTGTGTCTGCAGTCTCCGGTCACCTCCTGTACTGTGTCTGCAGTCTCTGGTCACCTCCTGTACTATGTCTGGAGTCTCCGGTCACCTCCTGTACTATGACCGCAGTCTCTGGTCATCTCCTGTACTATGTCCGCAGTCTCCGGTCACCTCCTGTACTATGACCGCAGTCTCTGGTTATCTCCTGTACTGTGTCCGCAGTCTCCGGTCACCTCCTGTATTGTATCCGCAGTCTCTGGTCATCCCCTGTACTGTGCCTGTAGTCTCTGGTCATCTCTTGTTATATGTCTGCATTCTCTGGTCATCTCTTGTACTGTGTCTGCAGTCTCTGGTCATCTCTTGTACTGTGTCTGCAGTCTCTGGTCATCTCTTGTACTATGTCTGCAGTCTCTGGTCATCTCCTGTAGTATGTCCGCAGTCTCTGGTCATCTTCTGTACTATGTCTGCAATCCATTGGTTCAGAATATTTTTTTTCTTGTTTTCTGCCTCTAAAACCTAGGTGTGTCTTATGGAGCGAAAAAAACGGTAATTTTCAGATATACTGTATATATCATAGTTTGTAGATTCTATAACGTTCAAAATGACTAAATAATACACACCCGTTTGTTCTTTTTTTACCAAAAACATGTAGTAGAATACATTTTTTTCAAAATTTATAAACAAAGAATATTTATTTTCAAAGTTTTATAACTAAACTAAGAAAAATATTTTTCTTAAATAAAATGTTGGCCTTTATTTTATATAGCAAAAAATAAAAACAAGAGTGATTAAATAACACCAAAAGAAAGTTCTATCTACCTCAAAATAATGATATAAAATTTGGGTACAATGTTGTACGACTGAGTAATTGTTATTCAAAGTGTGACAGAGTTGAAAAAACTGAAAAAATGGCCTGGACTAGAAAGGGTGAAACAGACCAGTATTGAAGTGGTCAACCACTTGACAACCACAATACGTATATAAATGCTCTGGTTTTCAAGTAGTTTACTGGGGTTGTGGCTGAAGATATCAGCCATAACCCCGGTATCTTTATTTTTTCAGCAGGCTCCCGGCTTTCTGATGAAAGCAGTCTGAGTGGCTAATTAGCCACTGGAACAGATTCACTGCTTTCCGAGAAAACTGGTGCTCCCGAGAAACAATCTGACAGTGCGGCCAGCTACTCCCAGGGACAATAAGAGACTCTATGGTCTCTGATTGCCTGTATGGTGTTGGAGGACCGGAGCGACGTCATGGCGTCACTTCCAGTCGGGGGCGAATATAAACAATTTTTTTCTTTTTAAAGCAAAAGATCCCAAAAAAAAGTTTTTTTGATCTTCTGCTTTTAAAGGTAAAGGAGAGATTTGGGGTCTTA